GAAACTTTGCCATCATATCTCCGGCAGCCTTGAGGCCTTCTTTCCTAGTGACGCACCCCCTTAGGTTCCCTATGTTTTTTAAAGGGAGCCTGTCATGGAAAAAGATAAGTTTACCGAACCTAATGAGTCATTGTTCAAAGCGGAGGCCTTCCTCCTTCAATAATAAATCAGGAGTCTTCCCACAATTGGCGGCTTTCCTCCCAATCACCACCTTAATCAATGCCACCGCTCCCCCCTGCGTCATTCATACTTCAAATTTTTAAATAATCCAGCTATTCACGTCTTCATTTAAAGAAAATCATTAAATAAAGTCAAGATATATACATATAATGGACGGAATATGCTAGTTTCATGTATGAAAGGATTAACACATATAATGAAGCAAAGATCAACGATTGGATAAAAAGAAAGAAAAAATAGAGGGACCTGATTCAAAATTTGCTGAAACCATAAGGACTGAGGAATTAATTTTCCCTAAAATTAATGATGATGAGAAAAGAATGATTTATGAGATGAAGATTCCAGAGGAGGGGGGATTACACCTTCCAATTTGGTTGAAGACCAAGAATGGCAAGTATACAGTGAAGTTAGGCTAGTTTGTTGCTAAACAAAGTGAGGTAAGGGTAGCTAATACTTGTCCTAGTGCTTCTTATAAAATCTCTTATAAAGTTTGGGTTAATATTTGGTCTTTGCATATCCCACAAAAAATTAAACATTTCATGTGGCAAATATTAATTAAATGGCTTTTTGGCAACAAAAGAAGCTTTATATTGAAAGCATTGTACTCTAGATAATATCTGTCCAGTTTGTAATAATGAGCCGAAAACTGTTAAACATTTGATTCTGCACTGCTCTTGGGCTTCATGCTACTAGTTTGGGTGTTCTTTCACTCTGGTTAATGACATAAACAGAATAGCGTGCGTTAAAAAATGGTGTGACGAAAGTTTTCTACATCAGGAAAATATTGATGATCATGAAAGAGCACTTATGGTAGCAATATGTTGGGGTATTTGGAAAGGAAGATGCGATTGGTTATTTAATGGCAATATGGTTGATCCTATGAGAACCATCTCAATAGCCTCCCTTCTAGTTGATAGTTGATGAAGTTTGGACAGCAAAGTCAAATGAGGTCAATAATGGCGCCGATGCAAGGAATAGAAGTATCTAGAGGAAAATACGCTGGGAGCTTCCTAATGTAGACGCTATTAAGGGCCTGCTTGGAATAGTTTATAAGTAGCTTTTCAATCGTGATTTACGAAATACGAAGCAAGTACGTGAAATAAGTTTTGTCTTGGCCTATGTGAAACGTGCTTATAAGGAATTTTCACCGTTATCCCAAATAGGCTCTAAATTGAGCACCGATGGATTATTTAAGAAGAGAACTGAAAGTGTGAGCATTGGAGTAATTTGCAAAAATAACAGTGGAGCTTTTTTGCGAGGCATCTGCAAGAAAGTTAAGTCATCTACTCTCGTTGAAACTAAATGTCTTGCTCTCAAAAGTGCTCTTTTGTATATTCATACTTTCGCTAATCATAATATCTGTATTGAGATGGATTGTGAGGAGCTTTTTAAAGTTCTTCCGAATAAATTTTTAGTTAATGCTGAATGGCAAAGCCTTTCTATTTTTCCTGATATGTTTCTAATGATTGAGCTAATACCAGTCACTCAATTTTCTTGGTTGCCAGACAAGGAAATAGAGCTGCGGGTTTTCTTGCAGTTATGAATGGCTAGTGATAGTAGCATCTCTGCTACAAGAATTTTGGATGCTGATGTGATTACTAGTAGAAACAGCATAAATACTTTTACTGATAAAGGTTTGGATCGCAAAGGAATAGGCTGATTTGATGTTAAAGTTTTGTGCCTTATTTTCTGTTTTTTTGGGTGGACTTTGTTTTGTTCTTTAGGCTTATTGTTTTTGTTAGTTCTTTTGTAAAAAAGACAACAACCAAAAAAGAGCTGGAATTTTGTAAATACCAAACAAGGAATGTCAACAAAAATTTGTTGTCATTTACAAATTCAGACTTGTTAATACCAAATAAAATTGTGTTACCAAACCTGATTTGAGATTTGCAATTTCTAGCTTCTTTTTCTATCATTCTCCCTTTGTAAAATGTTTTGTACCTTTTGGTTTTTTCTCTCTACTTTGTAGACCTTTCTTTTATTAATCAATAAAATAACCTCTTCTTGCTTTAAAAAAAAAGAGAAACCTTTTTATGATCATTTATTAAAGCACTAAAAAAATGCCCTTTAAATAGAAAATAAATTTAAGTACATAAGTACTAATAAATCTTTAAAGTTTAAAAGCATATAATTTGTTTCAAGTTTAGCCAATAATTAAAAATGATCCCTTTTACTTTTCTTTTACATCCGTCTTTCGGGAATGCAAGTCAGGGAGCCAAAAAAAGAAGAAGAAAAAAGACAAGATTGTTTCCTACAACTCTTACCAAAATTAATACAGAATCTTATCCACAAAAATAGCTCCTACCCCACCACTTGTTTTAATCATAAAAATCTATAATCCCAGTAAAATTTTATATTAATTAATTGGAATAAAAAATAAATGCAGAACCACACTTGAGTCTATCATTTATTAGAAATAGCTAAATTTACCAGTCACTTTGTACCCTAGTCACTTATTAATTTTCTTGTAATTAAAAAGTCATGAGTTCGATTTTATTTATTATATTAGCCTGGCAGTGTTGGTTTTTTCAATTAAAAAAAAAAGAAAGAAATCACAGATCTTCTATAATGCTTTTTAATTATTTTTTAATGAATATTGAGCATCTTAAACTATTAAATAATACAATGTCACTTTTGAAGAAGTATTAATTTAAAAGGATGCAATGTTTAGTTTCATTAATTTGTAAAAATAATATTAATTGGTATAACAAATATCATTTGAAACTAATAGTGTTAATGTTAGATACTTGAGAAAATATTTTATAAAATTAAGAAATTAAATTAAAATATTGCATAAAGTTGGAAGAGTAATTGTATACTTTTATAATTTAAATTTAAAAGAAAGTAAAAAAAAATGCCATTACAAGAATTCATAATAATCTCACACGATAAAACCTTGTATAAAAAATAAATAAACACATCCTCTTTATTAGGAAAAGAAGTACATTACATATATTAATTCAAGTACTTCGGTTTTGATTCTCTTTATCATTAAGTCAAACATGTTTTCTAAATTCTCTATTATTCCAATTTCATAATTTTATTTCATAAATTAAAATATTTATTGAAAAAATAAAATATAATTTATTTAAATCTATTTCGGACAACATAAAACTATTTGACTGTGATGAATTAAACGAAACCGAGAATTTTTCACATTTATACAGCAAGAGTGTGATTGATTGAAAATATATGAATAAAGTGCACTCAAAATGATAACTATAATAAACACAGAGTCCAGTCAGTTATTCTTTATTCATTTTTTTATCAATATAAAATAATACGATTTAGATCTAGCAGATCTCTTAAGAAGACCAATGATTGATATTTTATAAAAACTGGTCTAAATATTATATATAAGTATTATATTTATCATTACGATATATTTAGTGCATTATTCGCAACTAGCAATTATTTAATTGATCAGTTATTCAATATTTCATTGTTATTTTGGAGGAAAAAATCAAAATAGTTTCAAATTGAAGAAACTTAGATCCCGTTTGATACAAAGTATTGAAAACAAGGATAAAAATTATGATTGTAATTTAAAAAAATTATTAAAAAAGTTTTTAACACTCTTTTATGGGTTTAGTTTAATCCCATGTAATATGTAATTTCTTATACTAAACACTCTTTTAATAGATTTTTTCAATTATAATTCTAATTTCTATCTCTCTTTTTAATGCTTTATACCAAACGATACCTTAAAAGTTTGTTTGGTTTCTTGTTTTGAAAATAATTTTGTATTTTAAAAACAGAAAAATGAAAAGACTTGTTTGGTGATTTGCTTTTAGTTGATTGTTTTGAAAAAAAAAACACAAAAATAGTAACATGTTTTAAAAATTAAAAAACCAAAACAACTTTTACATATGTTTTTTTGTTTTGTTTTGTGTTTTTATTTTATTTTTAAAAAAAGTTGAAGAAATCTTCTTTTCTTTTTACTAACTATCCGGCCCCTATTACTATCGGTGTCAACTATGTGTTTTTTTTTTCAAATGCAATTTTTTAAAAATTATTATCCAAACAATTTTTTTGTTTTTTGTTCTAAAACTTGTTCTAAGAAATAATTTTATAAAATTATTTTAAAAATAAAAAAAAAACAGCCCTTGTTTATTACACACGAACAAGTTCATATTATCATGCATCACTGTCCAGCGTCAATTGGCTCTTCTATGCAATCTTACCAACCCCAATAATACCGAATAGGAATCTAAAATACCCTTTTGAGGTAAAAACTTTTGTACCTTCTCATTCCCCCCCCCCAAAAAAAAAAAAGCACACTATTATTTTTTTTTCCTAAACATAATGAAATGAAACTATTTTACCACTTTAAGAAAACATTTTGGCATAACTTGTCCTGTTCCATTCAAACCTTCATTTGATCCGCATGGAAATAAAAAAAAAAAACCATAATTTAATCAATGAAAAATTTCTGTTTGAAAATTTTATTAACAGAAAGACATGAAATTTGAAAAATATATACGGGTACTTTTTCTGTATGAAAATTTATTCAAATTCCTCTGACCAATAAAACTTTTGAATAGGAATTTTTTTAATGATTTTTCTAATTTATGTTTTAATAATAATTTACTACAATGGGTTAAACTTATAAATTATGAATTATTATATTTTTAATGATGTTCCAAAATTCAATCATTAACATATTGATCAATACAATTTAATACTGATATTGATATTTATTTTGTAACTCATGAATAAAAAATAATAAAACAAAAAAATAATAATAATTATTATTAAAGAAAAAGCCCAAAATGGACGTCCTATTTCTCAAAGGCCTCCTCTTCGTCGTCGTCTTCATGCCCAGCCCACTAGTACTCGCAGGGGTCGCATAGTCCCTCTCCTCACGCACGAAGAAGAAGCAACTTGCAGATACAGAGAGAGAAACAAAAGCTATAGAATCAAATTGGCGTTGTTGGATTCCACACGGACACTGAGATACGCTTTCATGGTTGACATTTCCTGTTGAATGTTAGGTTTTTAGGGCTAATTCGTGCTCGTTCCCTCCAACAAAAAGGCCCCTCTTCCAAAACCCTAGGAAACAGGAAGTTCAACGTGGCAAGGCCTCAAGGTGTTTCAGGTTGTGCCCTAGCTCACAAATTCGTGATTCTCGTGCGTAATAAGGTGTTTCCCCTCTCTTAATTGTCATTGTTTTGGGCATTGGTCTGCGTAGCTGAAAACCCTAGAATCATGCAAACTGGGGAATTTGTGGAAATGGGCATCCTTAGGGTTTTTAATTTGGGGGGTAAATTTTGCTGAATTGTTTTTCTCTGGGGCTGTCTTATGCATTGTCATGAAATGTCGTCAGGTTTATGCCTGAGCTAGTGTCTATTATGGGGTGTGAAAGTGGTGTCTTATTTATGATTGGGGATTTGCCTGCCCATATTGGGCAACGAAGAGGAATGCATTTCTTAAAGCGGTAAGCAACTAATGTGAATAATAAAGTTACCGTTCGTGATGCCAGTTCAAAATTTTGAAGGTAATCATTGGCGCCAACCTCCATGTATGCAATAGTTGAGATAACATACGTAAGAATAAGTAATAGTGACGAGTGTTTTAGGTACTAATTGCGTCTTATTTTATCTTCGCTGTTTATTAACATCTTTCAATGCCGTTATGGGTCTTTATTATGTCTGCAACCTCTATGGTTATGCATTTCCGTGCATGTTGAAATAGTTCAAACCACGTCGCTGCGTATCTTTTGCATTATTTGCCATGTGCAAATGATGATATCCGCTAGCTTGTTATAGTAGTGTATGTGCCTTTATTTCATTCATGTCAAGAAATCTACTAATTTGTATTATATAGGCTCTTACAGTTTCGATGAAAGACAGGAATCCTTTGCTTGGTGAATTTTGAACGGTCGACATCATTTTTTATTTTCTACAGACGTTACATTCTCACAGCTTGTAGGAAGACAATATCTACTTGGTGAGAGGCCTTTGGTCGGTGAATTTTGAAGGGTCGACATCATTTTTTATTTTCTACATATGTCAGTGTTACAGGCTGTAGAAAGATAATATTTACTTGGTTTTTCTCTTTGTGGAGGATTTCTCAACCATTCATCAATTCATCGAGTGAAAGAAAATATTGTCTTGAATTGCTGAAAGAAGGCCTGTTTGATTACTAATTTACGCACGGCTTATGAAGAAACAAAGTTCCGTAGAAGCAGTTAGTCGTTAGTCTGAAGACCTAAGTACCATCATCATAATCATGAGTGAGCTAAAACCTGCTTCAGCGTTATCAGCTTAGTTCTTGGTGATGCCTCTATTTAATTTATTGCCTCTAATCATTGACTAAAATTATTGAATTACTTATGTAGTCAAAAGGTGTTCACTTCAATACTAAGGAACAAAAGCAAGGTGCTAGGAGGCCACAATGCCTCTTGCTGGGTGAGGGCCGAGGCAGGGGCCTTTCATCCTGGTGCTTGCATGGCAGCGTCTTAGCATCTTTGTGGTGGATGCAACAGCTTGCGTCAGGTGCAAGCTATAAAAGCCAACCCGATAACTCAAAACCATCAGTATCTTAAATCTCGAAACAAGATAATTCAAACATACAAAAAGCATAAACACGGCCTAGAAATTCAACTGGGCCCCAGTGTGCTTCTAAGCTATTTTCTTTTATTTTGTCACTTTCAGAATTCAGTCAAACCTTTTTTCAAACTTCCCAGGCTTATAAACTTCCTTAATTTACTTATTATGCTTGTATGTCTTATGCTATCTCCACAGTTAATATTTATTTCCTATTTATAGAGCACATTATTAACCCCAACCCCCCCCCCAAAAAAAAGACCAAATTTTACTGTCTTGCTTCACTTGGTTAAACACATATCTGTCACCTCTTGCCTCGAGGAATGATTGTTGTGTCGAAATTTGTAATTTGTGATCTGTGCCAGTGGTGCAACTTCTTTCCTCCTAAATGATAGCTGCATGACCCGTATTATCTTTTCACTCTTCTCTCTCTCTTATTTAGCCCATCACTGCACAGGGGCCATTGCAACATTTCTTATCTGCTGAACAGTAGTTCATTCAACGTACTTTATAAATAGGCCCTGGAAAGAGTCCTTTCGTTTGTGTGCGTGTGAGGGAGAGGGAGGGTGGGGAGATTGGTTTAAGCCTTGTGGAAAATGTTCTCTCTTGTTTAAAACCTCCTGTTTAGAAGGACGTTTTCGATTTGCTGCTGCTTGATGTTTGTCAATAATGTTCACATTCTGTCTGGCTTGGGTCTTTTTCTTCTTGGTTGTTTTTAATAGTACATTATATTTTGTATATAAATTAAGTGCTTTGTAGTTTTTGCCCTCTCTTATTTAACCCCTTGCCTTAACGAATTTGGCAGATGTTTTAACAGATGGGAGATCAAACTCTTAGACATTAGAGGTGGGAATGCATGGATGTAATTCTGGATCGGCTGTCCTTGTAAATGCTGAGGTTGATTCCATGGGAGGAGTTATTGACGGCGGAGTTGGCATAGGGTTGAAGACCTCTCCCCGCCAAGCAGCCATTGAGAAGGCTCAGGCAGAGCTCAGGTGATGAGAGGTTCATTTATGTACTTCCATTCTGTTTTTTGTCTTGCTTCCTTGAGTACCGATATGATATTTTATGGTATACGCCAAGAATAACCTGTTGGATGTTGATAACAGACAGGAATATGATGTTCGTGAGGAAAGAAAAAGAGAGCTAGAATTTCTTGAAAAAGTAGGTGGCTTTGATCATTTGCACGCTGTATTTTCTGATAGATGTATGCAAATGGTGATTACCTTTTATGCGTTGTAAGTGTAGGGGGGGAATCCTCTGGACTTTAAGTTTGGGACTGCCGCTTCAGCTAGTGTCCAGTCTACCTCACTCACTGATCAACACCATGAGCAGTTTGTGACAAGGTCGGCTATTATTTTTCTTGTTTTTGTTGGATTTGTTTGACTCTTGGCAGTATCTTGTGCTTGTTAATGGTTATCTTTTGCATTCAATTTTCTTAATCTTAATTCTTAATGATATTTCATTGTGTTTGTTGCTTGACCTTTCTATCTTATTGTGATTTCAGTGAAGCAAAAGGTAGTTTTGCTTTGACGGCCTCCCCTCATGGTGACTCTGTTGACAGTAGTGCTAGACCAGGTGCTCCCTCGGGTAGTGAACCAAATACTGCTGATAATCTCGTAGTTTTGGGTATTGATAAAGAGTTACCTAAAGGCGAAAGGAGATCTGCACATCAAAGTAGAAGGAACAATGTTACTCCGTCAGAGCAGTCTTCCAAAATTGATGGGAGTCAGAATGCTAAGGACTCTGAAGATTCTGCCATTTTCCGCCCATATGCTCGAAGAAATAGGTCCAGAACAAATCATGGTCCTCGGGGCAGCTCAAGGGATGGGAAGGGGTTGGTATCTGAAACTGGCAACTTGAAGGAACATAATTTGCCTTCTGTTTCTAAGCCCAAGCCTCCAAACATAAATGGAGAGGTAGTTACTAAAGATAACATTTCTATCAATCCGTTGGTTAGCAAATCAGATGGTGTCCGAGTTCATCAAACAACTAGTGGCAATAGCGTTCCTGAAGTTAAATTGGATATCACTGCCCAAAGAAACTATGAGGAAGATCAGTGTACTCTACCTTCCCGAGATGATACTGTACAAAACCCAGTTGTCATGGCTTCTAGGGAGACTGATGCAGTTGAAGAAAGGGAGCCAGTAGCTGCTGCTGATCTGGAGCCTCTGCCTAAAACTACAAAACCAGAAAACGAAACCTGTTCTGGCCAGCCAAATGGAATTGCCAACATAAAAGCAGATAAAAAGGGCATAACGAATGAAGAACAAAATGGTGATGCTGTGTTATGTGTGAGGACTTTCAACTCAGGGTCTTCGTGCACCCAAAGTAGTGTAGGTAGAGATGTTAATAATGATAGTGATATGTGTAATAATGCTAAAAATGTTAATGGCAATGGCAGCACTGTGGGAAAAATGCCAGTATTTGATAAGAAACCAAATGTAACTGGCTGTGAAGTAAAAGAAAGCAGCAAGGCCAATGCCAGTGGAGGTGGGGCTACTGTTAATGATGGAAATGATGCTGGTTGTCTAAACCATTCTGGTAGTGGTAATATGGTCAAAGCCGAGCAAGATGCTTCTGTTAATGGTTCATCCATGCAAAACAAGGTGAGTGATTTTTCCAATATCAAGGGACAAAATGACAGTACTGCATCAAAAGCTGAGAAAGAGTTAGGTGGTGTCTTGGCGGATCATTCCAATTGTGTCAAGGGCAATAGCTCTGGAAGACACCAACAGGAGCCTATGGATGGGTCAAATTGTGAACTTGCTCAGGCTGTTCTGGCGGAAAAGGTTTCAACTTCTGCCTCTGACCTTCAGCCATGTTCCAATCACCATTTATTGGCGGACAAGGCACGTGAAGATTCTATTTTGGAAGAGGCACGGATTATAGAGGTCCTCATTTTTTATAATTCCATTTATAGTGACTCATGCCCATTTTGGCCAACTTCTGTAACTTTTTCCTTTATCATCTGATCAACAAACTATATAAATGTCTAACATGTATTAAAAGGCCAAGCGGAAGAGGATCACAGAATTGTCATCAACTCGCACTTTACCCACACAGAACCATAGAAAATCTCACTGGGGTTTTGTCCTTGAGGAAATGGCATGGTTGGCAAATGATTTTGCACAGGTTTTAATTTCTATGCCTACTAGTGATTCGCTGCTTTCCCCTTCCTGTGGTTGTCTCAACCCTTTATGGACTAGCAAAAATACACAAGGTTAATCTTACTGAAGTTTTGTGTTATCTTTTTTAAAGGGGGGTTTTTCCTTGGCATTGTTTTGCAGGAGAGACTTTGGAAGATAACTGCTGCAGCACAATTGTGTCATCGAGCTGCTTTTACCTCTCGGTTAAGATCTGAAGAGAAAAATAAACATATGGGAATTAAAGTTTTGGCTCACAACATAGCTAAGGCTATCATGCAGTTCTGGCATTCAGTTGAGCTGCTTCTAGAAAACAATGATGCTAGTATTGACTACTCTGGTGCATTCTCAGAATCTGAGAAAGTTGATGTGGTAGAAGCTTCTAGGAACAAGAGAAGAAATTCAGATGGGGTACTCGTTATTTCTTGGACTTTTGCGTTTTGCATATAAAGCAAATTTGTCTTGAACCTTCATTGTTGGTGGCTGCTTTGGTCAGTTATGGGATAGGACATCCCTGTTACATTATTTTCCTATTAATTTGTTTATTTTAAAGAGATGATACAAATGATATTGCTTCTACCGCATAATGAAGAATTCTATATTTGAACTCTGTGATGAGGTAAAAATGAATCGAGATTTTATTATCATGTTATATATGTAAAGCCAAAGATTTTAGAAGTAAAAATGCATTTAATGTTCATACAACCCCATAGTGGATCTTATAAAAGGGGACATAGGGGTTCAAAAATTTGGATCTTATAAAAAGGGATGGAGGGAGCATATCACAGGTTCAGAAACTATTGCATACTGCGATTGTTTGATATTTGTTATAGCTATCATCTGGGAGAATCGAGACATATTGCTTATCCCCCATTCTACTGTCATCATGGACTACTTACTGAATCCATAGTGTTGGTTGTTTTGTTCAGGAGAGAGATGAATATTTGGAGGAACATCCCAGAAAAAACTTGGCTAAGAAAGTCCAAGCTTATGCTTTGAGGTTTTTGAAGCATAGTAAGCCTCATGAAACTTCTTCTCTAGCTGAAGCACCAGCAACACCTGATAGGATATCTGATTCAGGCACTCTGGGCATGCCATGGGAGGAACATCTTACAGAAGTATGGGCTGAGTTTCCTTAGATATATTTGGTTTGCTTGTAAATGTTGACAGTAGTGATTTGTCTTCTTTTTCCCTCTTCTGTTGCAAATTTTTGCATTGATATTTCAGTTTTATTATCGTGGTCTTTGGATTCCATTGGTTGGAGATACTTCATCTATTTGGTTATTCAATGGATTGTTTGTGTGGATAGTTTTTGTCGTTTAATCATTGTACTGGATGTAGACAAAGTGCACTTTCACATTTCATAATTTTAATTGGCAGGAAAGTCTCTTCTACACAGTTCCTTCTACATCAATGGAAGCATACCGGAAATCTGTTGAATCTCATTTCCTACATGTTGAGGTAAATTTATGACCAAAGGTCCTGTACTTGGTGCCTTCCGTAGATATTTTAGGGTAATCATTTTAGTCTAATTTGCTAAAGATGTCTTAAGATATGTTATGAGGTTATCTGCTTCTTTTGTCCCTCTTTCCTATCATCGGGTGTAATAATCATTTGACTTCTTTGTGGCCATTAGTGCTAATAAATATAACCTTTTCAGAAAACTGGGAGTAGCATGCAAGAGGAAGTTGATACATCTATTTATGACACTGCACCAGGTAATGTTGGATTCGTTTGCATTTTGATTTTCAAGTGAATTAATGATCGATCTGGAACTCATCACACCCATTTTAATTGAATTGTAGAGTTTGGGTCGGAAGAGAATGTGTATGATGAGGATGATGGAGAAACAAGCACTTACTACTTGCCTAGTGCCTATGAGGGTAGAAAATCATCAAAATCAACCCATAAGAAGCATAGAAACATGATGAAATCTTACCCTCCAAGGTCCTGTGAGTTTGGGGCTGATTTGCCCTATGGAAATTATACAACTGGATTTCAGCCGTCCATGCTACTTGGCAAAAGGCCTGCTAGCTTAAATGTTGGGCCTATACCACCAAAACGGGTGCGCACAGCATCTAGACAGAGAGTTGTAAGTCCTTTCACAGCTGGGGTCCCGGTGACAGTGCAGCCTCAAGTTAAGACAGATGCTTCGAGTGGAGATACCAATTCCTTTCAGGATGACCAAAGTACTTTACATTGTGGATCTCAGATTCAGAGAAATGTGGAAGTAGAGTCAATGGGAGAGTTTGACAGGCCGTTACCGTACGACTGTGCTGAAACGTCTGTTAAAACAAAGAAGAAGAAGAAGGCAAAGAATCTGGTAATATCAATTTGTATATTTATCTAACTTGAAAGGGTAGTGATTTATTTATGTTGATACGTCTTCATTCATCCTGTATCTATGCCTCAACTTCAGTTGCATAACTACTATATCTGCAGGGTTCTACATATGATCAAGGATGGCAGGTCGATTCAGTTCTAAATGAACAGGTGATTCTTATATTATTATAAGATAAGCACTACCGACACCAATCTTTCTTGTCAGAATTGGTGAAAGTTGGAATGACTATGTTTAACTTTGGCAAAAGTATGCTCTATTGAAAATTTTGATATTGCATCAACACGAAGAAGATTGCTTCCAGTATCTTATCCTTGTTACTTGTTCAGTTCTTTGTGTGAAGATAAGTTATAAGATTTTAGAGGAAAGATTCTCTGCGGAAAGGGAAATTAGAATGGGAATGGAATTCTGTGGCCTGAAATCACATTCATTTGGCAAAGCAAGAAATGGGAACGCTGTTTCAATTGTATGTTTAGTAGAGTAGAAATATTGATCAAATGGATAGGAAAGCTGAGCAAATGACAAGTACCGATGGGCTGAAAGGGAGATATTAAAAATTTTGTTAATTAAGATGAGAAAGAGAAAAGTAAATGGGATTTAAGATCAATAAAACATTATTACATCTAAGCCCTGAATGTGAAATTGGTTCTTTCCTCCTCTCTTCTCTTCATTCATTAGCAGAAGCTTGAGAATGTGGAGTTTTTTGCTATGCTGT